ACTAGGCAACTAAAAAATTCAAAAAATTCTGAAACTTTGTGTGCAAATAAAGTAGTTCATTCGTAATACAAAACTATTTTTTGTTCGTGCGGAATTACAGTTTTAGGAAATGAAACACCCTTTTGAAAAAAATTGTTTTTTCTTATGAATATCGTCGAAACTATATGAGATAGAAAAAATTTTCCAAAGTGAAAATTGAATGATTTTAAGAGTACTTTAGAATTATAAAACGTTTTTAAAAAACTATAAAAAATTTTTTAAATTCTTTATTGTATACCCCCAACCCCACTCCTATTTAAAAAAAATTTTTATTACAGTTCTAAAGTACTCTTAAAATCATTCAATTTTCACTTTGAAAAATTTTTTCTATCTCTTACAGTTTTGAAGATATTCGTTTCAAAAGAAAAAAACCGATTTTTTTCAAATGAATGTTCAACACCCTAAAACTGTAATTCCGCACGAACAAAAAATAGTTACGGATGAATTACTCTACTTGCACACAAAGTTTCAGGATTTTTTGAATTTTTGAGTTACCTAGTGTTCTTTGTTAGAGACTGATCCCTGAAGAGGTAAAAGACCGCTTCGGGCTACCTTGTTATCAAACGCTCGCTTTTATTCTTCAGATCGCAATTCACGTCTGACTGGCGGATGCGCTGCTCTAATATCGTTCCTTTCTAACGCACCGTTACTGTTAAGCTGGGTTGCACGTTGAGCGAACGAACGAACACGAACGTATAATATATTTGCGTCCATCTTGCGCGCAAACTTCCTTTGATAAACCGCGTCATGCACTAAGAGAAAAAAAATATCGATTTAATTAGGATTATAATTATCTTTTTCTTTCTCTTTGGCTCTAACCATATTTTTTGGGTATTTTAACATGATAGTAATAACATACATATAAAGTTATTCATAATTTATGATAATTATCTCTATTTATATCCTGTGATTATAATTATAAATACCACACTGAGAAAGATTTGTAATTATAATTACAATTACAATTCTCTATGTAATTATAATTACATAGAGAATAAATTATAATATATAATATAATATTATAAATTATAATAAATTATAATTATAATAAATTATGGTTAAAAAAAAGAGAAAGCTATTTTTTATGAAATTCTATTATAATATTAATGACAATATGATCTCTTTCATACACACACACACATCCACACACACATATATATATATATAT